ACTCCTAAAGGTATTATTGAGTTAAGTAAACACTCAGAGTCAACTGCAGAACAATGATTTTGTGCTCTGTGTGTGTGTGTGTGTGTGTGTGTGTGTGTGTGCGCGCGCGCACGCGCGCGTGCTATTCTTAAGATCACACACTGTATCTTTCTCAGGATAGATATACAGTAGATCCTAATTTAAGACTGGGCTCTGTTCTGACAACTCCATCTCAAGTTGATTCTGATGTTTTAGGTCGAGCATCTCTTCTCTTTTCCATTTTCATTAGGATTGCCTCAAGCTGTTTTTGTTGTGGGTGCCCTCCAGTCAACTACAACTCATAGCAACCCTAAAAACCCCAGACCTGGACCTGGGCCTGTCCTGCACTGTCCTTGTCACCACCGACATGTATTAGCCCATTGTTAAAGTCACTGTGTCAATTCCTGTCAGTGAGGGTCTTCTCTTTCTCTGACCCTCTTCTTTTTCCAGCTTGGTGACCCTTCCCAAGGACTGGCTGCTCCTTCCTCATTAGAGGTACCTTTAAACTTCGATCTTTACCTGTCTTTGGAGGATGAAGCCATTACAACGGTCAGAAAAGTATAATAGCAGCAAATTATGTGCTGCAACAGCGTGAGGAGTATATATCACTAATGATGAGATGTAAAAAGAAGCAAAACAAACAGTAAACCAGACAGCATAGAGTGTGATTTGTTATAAAGCATTGTAAGTCAGAGACCACCTATATATCGAAAGACACTTATCTCCTTAGCACGTATCATCAGGAACTACCCCCAGTATAACAGTGAGGAGATGAGAGAAAGAACAGACCTATATATATGCCACTGTATCATTAAACATTAACTGGAAAAAATACAAGTATGGTATAGTCTAAGAAGAAGTTAAATAATGATTTTAAAAATCTGAAAAGGGGAAACTCAAATAGGGTTGGCTTATGGAGGGGAGGGTGTTTCTAGGATGTTTGCAAGGTTCTAGCCCTTGACCTGGATGGTGGTTACATCAGAGTTCACTTTAGAGGCATTTAAGTTTACATACAAGGTTCTTAGATTTTTTTTTAATGTGCATGAAATATTCTGTTTCAAAGCATTTTTCTCGTTTAAGGACTTAAAAGTAGCAGAGGATTCTGAGTTGAGGGATTGGAATGAGTAATCAAAGATGCAGAGTGCCAAAGGAGTCCTCGTCCCCCCGCCTACCCCCTGCCCCCACTTACCACGAGTCTTTGCAGTTGAGGTCTGAGAAGTGGATTGGGCTTCTGGGCTGACTGTGTCTGGAAGAGTACAGAGACAGGAGTCAAGGAGTGAATAAGAAAGAAAAAAAAAAAATAGGGGACAGTCCAAGGATATAGATTTAGAGGAAGTTCCCAGTAAGAGGTGATGAGAGTAAATAAATCCATCTAGCCATTTGTTAATTGCCCATTTTTGACACCAGCATCTCCCTTGCTTCAGTAACTTACCTCCCACTCACCCCCCTCAGTACCCTCCTGCCTCTGGTCAGAACCCCCAACACTTCCTCTTGAGAACTATACTTTCCTGACCCTCAGTCCACTGGGTGGCTGGTTTAGAAGCTAAACATGAGCCCTTGCCAGGCCAAACACAGCATTCTCTGCCTGGGACCACTGTGATTGGCTCAAGCCTGGCCAATGACATTCAATTCTGGGATATTTGTGGGAATGAGAAGAAAGGATTCTTTTTCCTCTGGATTCTTCATAGGTAGGCGAGAAACCTTGGGCCTTTGGGGGCTATATTTGGGGAAATCTGCTTGAGAATGAAGCCAGCACACACACAAAACAGAGCCAAGAGATGAAGCCAGGTTCCTGATGGCATCATTTTAGTACCTAGATTCAGCCACTCCTGAAAGCCTATCCTCAGATTTTTCAGTTACACAAGTCTATAAGTTCTCTGCTTGATCAAATCATTTTGAGGTTATTTGCAAGAATAAAAGCTGTTCTATCATTGTCTTGGCATATCTGTCCCTACTTCCTCACCTGGGACTTGAGTCTGAACATGACCCTCCACAGAGTTCGGTTCTGCTCCAGGAACGGAAGTGGTTTTCAACATCAGTCCTACAGAATCAAGAATAAGAAGTCATGGAGAGCAGGTCTGATTTCCTCTCTCACCAACAGTCCCCCGCCCCTGCCCCTTCTGAGTTCTTAGGGATAATTCAGGAAGTCCTATCTGCTGGTAGAACTATTTAACTTTGGCCAGACTAAGCCTGTCTTAGTCTGAGCTTTTCTGAATCCCGTTCAACATCATAGAAACATGCAAATGGTGCTTGAGATACATTGCTAAGGAATCGAACCTGGGGATTCTACATGGAAGGTGAAAATTCTACCACTGAGCCACCACTGCCCTCTCACGGGGCTGTAAAAAAGGTGATATGAGATGACATAGGATCCCCCTCACTGTTCAGCACATAGTCAGTGCTGGATGCAACTACTGCCTCCAGCCTCCAGCCTCCCCCTCCTGGACCATTACAGCAGCCTCCTTCCTGGTTCATCACTCCTATTCCTGTTCCTCACAATCTGACTCCCTATACACAGCCAAAGGGAATCTGTAAACATCTTAATCAGGTCAGGGATTTTCACCTGGCTCCACATTATGCCAGAAAAAAACAAATATCCTCAGCAATCTGTAAGTGGTCCCCCTCTCTGGTCCCTGGTCCCCTCTCTGCCTTCTCTTCTACTGACTCCCTCTTGGCTCACCCCAGCCCAGCCAGCTGGCCCACCTGCACTTCCTCAAACTCACCCCCTCCCAAACACCTGCATGGTCCATTGCCTTCTCTGTTTTAAGTATTTTTTTTCTTCACTAGTTTATTTACAAAATTCTAATACAAATTTGAACAAATTATTTCAATTTCATTGTCTTATACAATATTTATCCTTGTGGGACTGAGTTAGTTCACTCAGCATAATGCTCTCCAGTCCCTCCCAAGTTAGGTAATAATTTACAAAGTTACTGCTCCTGCATGCTGCATAGTATTCCATTGTGTTAAAGTACCATAATTTCTCAATCCATTCGTCTGTGGTTGGACATTTGGGCTGTTTCCACGTTCTTGAGATGGTGAATAACGCTGCTATGAACATTGGTGTACAAATGTCTATTCAGATACTCCACGACTCCTCAGGAGAAAGACAGGCAATCTCCCATGTGACGTGCAGCCTCAGAGACCCACTGAAGATCAGCTGAGTCCAGTCCAAGCCGAGGGCAAGGAGGAGGAAGCATACCATGTGCTTAACTAATTAATTATTCACTCTCTTTCTCTACTATAATGCATTGTTTTACTCACTGCTAAATTTCTCCAATGACAGCACTTACCCAGGTAGTAGTCGCTCAACAATACTTGTTGAATGACTGGAAAAAAAATCCATAAAAACCATCTTTTACAGTAGAAACAGGACCAGCTTTAGAGGCATGTATAGTTCAAGCTCTGTGGACAGACAGGATCTTTATAATACCAGTTCCTCCCCTTTCTATCCTCTGGCATAGGACATTTTCCCTCACTAAGTCTCATTTTTCTTATCCATGACAATATGTATTAAAAAGCAGAACTGAAGTTCCAACAAGATATAACATGCAGCACTTGTTACCTAGTTGTTGCTGTTGTTAAGTGCCTTCGAGTTGGAACTGACCCTCCAGTGGGTTTTCAGAGGCAATAAATAGCACGAGAGGAAGTTGCCCATCTTTCTTCCATGACGCAGGTTGATAGTTTTAAACTGTGTGTTGGTAGCTTAGCTCCTTATCAACATTGTTTGTTGTTAAGTGTCATCGAGTATGACTTACAGTGACTCTATGAACAAAAGATGTGAACCCTGTCCTATCGTGTACCATACTCATAATTTCTGACACACTAGAACCCATTGCAACAGTCACAATGGCAATCCAGCTGGTTGAGGGTCTTCCTTTCCTCTGCATCCCTCTATCTTTTCAACCACGATATCCCTCTCCAAGGAATAGCCTCTCCTAATAAAATGTCCAGTATATGTGAGAAGAAGCTTTGTCATCCTTGCCTTCATGGCTGTACTTTCTCCAAGACAGATCTGTTAGTTCTTTCAGCAGTCCATGGGATATTCAGTATTTCTCTCCAACAACACAGTTCAAAGGCATCAATTCTTCTTCTGCCATCCTTATGCATTGTCCAGCTCTCAGATGCAGAACAAGTGATTAGAAAGACCATGTCTTGACTCAGGCACACCTTAGTCCCCAAACTTATCATTTGGCCTTACCTCTAGGCCAAACCAAAACCAAACTCACTATCATCAAGTTGGTTCACACTCTAATGGAATTTCATGGCTGTAAATCTGATGGCTTAATGGTAAGAAGTTGCAATGCCAATCCCAAAGGACATGATTCTAATCCACCTACTGCTGTGAGAGAAAGATGGGCAATATTCTCCTGTGAAATTCACAGTTCTGTAAACCTATAGTCCTCATTACCTTTCTCCATAGACATTCTAGCTACTACGTAATTCTAGTATAGAGGATCAGCTACGGGTCGGTTCCAACTCTACAGCACCTAGACTTGACCACAACAAATCTATGAGAGAAGACGGCCCATCTCTCTATCGTGAAGTGGCTTGTGGATTTGAAACACCAAACTTTCAGTTAGCAGCTGAACATACAATGCACTATATTCCACTAGGGCTCCCATTATCCAGAAAATGCCTCACTAATGCCTGCTTCATACACTGTTTCTTTCAGAAACATTTCCAGGAAGAAGGGAGAGGCCTTACTCCAGAACCTGCCTCTCATCACCCTAACTGAGCATCACCTAATGATCCAGAGAGTTGTTTTGCTGACAGCCCAGGTTTCCTGGCTACCTTGTGGAAAACTGACACTCAGGTCCCTGCCAACTCAAACTCCGCTAGTTCTCTCGCAGGCCACTGCTCAGCAGGACATGGTCTGGCCAGACTCATTGGAAGCAAAGAGGGTGTAGTCCTCCAGCAGAAGAATCCCAGTTCCTGGTGCTGCCAAACAGGAGGGCAATGAGGAATGGGGTCTCATCCACAGTCATGAGGGGCTGGGGGCTTCAGGGAACAGGGTGGAGACAAAGGCTGGGTCTTACCTCTGGTGGGGAGAACCAGGCTTATGATGCTGAGGAGACACAGGTGACCAGAAGGTGACATCTAGGAGGCCAACCAGAGGTGGGGTCAGTCACTAGGCTAGTGAGGCTGAAGTGCCCCCCTCCTGGGGATGGGAGGAGGGATCTTGCTGCCTCATTCCCTCCCCATCCCAAGCAGCCACCCCTGGCTTCAAGGACCAATGGCCAGTTGTGAGGTGGGCTCTGTGACAGATCTCAGGTTGTTAGCTCATTCTTCTTCTTTGGGTCCTTATAGAAACCAAGATGAATCTGACCAAGGAGATGTCAATGGACACCCTAAAGCAGAGATGCACGACCCTGCTTTCCCAATCAGGCCCCAAGCGTCACCCAGACAACAGAGAGTAGAGAGGGTCTGCAGTAGGCACCCCTCCTCCGCCTGCAGTAGGGGCTGTCCCCAGAGCAGAGTCAGCAGGAGGAGAAGAGGAAGAGTGAGTAATGTTCTCCTGATGGCAGAGGAAAAAGTGAGCTGGTGTCGAGGCCGCCAAGCAGGGACAAAAGAACAGGATGCTGGATAGATCTGAGAGGGACTGGCCCCGGTGGATGGAGGCGATGGGGACACCCCCCGCACCCCCACACACCCCAGGGTGAGGGGTGGTGAGCTGGGCAGCCTAAGGTGAAGACAGAGGAGGATGGCGCGAGGGGAGACTGGCAAGGTCGCTTCTCGACCCACCTGAGCCCGGGCCCGGGCAAATGGAGGTGGCCAGGGGAGCGCACTTACGTCAGAGCTGGGGGTCCGGAGCCGGCAGGCCGTGTGGCGGGGAGACGGCAGCAGCGAGGCTGCGTCCAGGCGGAGGGTGTGGCCAGGGGAGTGCGGCGGGCGGGGACCGTTATGGGCTCGGTCATTTCCTCTAGGGTTTCCTGGTTTCGGAGCCTGGGTGGGAGCAGGAGGAGGGACGCCCGAGGAGCCGGGGGTTAGGGCGTGAGGCTGGGCGGCGGCCTCCAGCCACCGCGGGGGGCGTGGGGGGCCGGGGCTGGGAGCCTGCGCGGCTGGGCCGCCTCTGGGGAGGCGAACCTGGGAAGGAAGAGGGGGCATTTTGGGGGGGAAGGAGGAAGAAGGTGATGGAGTAACTTTGGTGTGAGGGGCGAAGTGAAAAGGTGTCCTGAAAAGGGAAGCCTGAGACCATCCGCAGAGGAGAAGGGGCTACTGCTGGAGGGAGGAGGGGCTCCGAGGAGGAAGAGCAGGAGGACCTGGGGAGGACAGGAGGCGGAGAAGGAGGGATAGACAACTTCAGGGTGGCTGGAGAGGACGCCCCAGGTTCAGTTGGCCTGTCCCCCACAGATGAGAACACACAGACAGAACCGGGGGAAACCAAATGCACATTTATTAAGCTCAAGACAGAGAGGGCTGGGAATGGGGTTCTCGGGCAGGAGACCGGAGTGGGGAGGGGGCGGTCCCCCAGGATGCGGGGAAGCCGGCGGAGGACTCCGGGGGCCGGGCGCCCGAGTCCCTAGGTCTGAGGTGCTGGCAGGCTCTTTGGGGGATCTTGATTGCCAAGGCCTGGGGAAGGGCGGCGGGGTGCAGCGGCTCCAGCCACGAGGTGGGTGTGACGGCTCATTCCGGGGTGCGCTCCAGGGTACGGGCCTGGGTCCCCACCGCCTCCACCCGGTCCTCTGGCTCCCGCACGCAGGCAGGGCAGCAATGGAGGGGCCAGAGGCTGGTCTTACACGCCGCCGCCACCAGGAGCTGGGGAGAGAGGGGAAGAGAGAGAGAAGGGAGAGAGGGAGGTGGGGGAGGGGGGGGAGAGAGGCGTAAGGAGGGGAGGGGAGAGCGAGGGAGGGAGAAGGAATCAGGGACTGTAGGAGCGGAGGTAGTCGTCCTCCTCAAGGCCCCTGGATCCCCTAAACTGGGTGACTGTCACCCTCGAACTGGTACTGGGGAGCTCTCCTCCCTCACATACCCCATGTCTGATCCACGTGGGAACACTAATGTGGTTTCTAAGCCGTCCTGTAGGGGCGCTGTCTGTAGGGCAACTTCTCTAATCAATCTCTCCAGAAAGGGAATCTCTCCTCAGGCCCCTGCGCACTGGCGCCACCACAAACACACGCACTCTACCTCTCTCCTGTGCTCCTCCTTCCTGTTGTTGTTACTATGTGCCGTTGGGTCACCTGTTACTCATAGTCACTCAACAGCTCTGAAGCCTGCCTTGTCCTGAACCAGCCTCACTGACCCCAACATATCTTCCCCCATTGCCCAAGTTACTGTATCTATCCATCTCATGCGGGATCTTCCTCTCTTGCATTCTCTCTCCACCCTTCCAAGCAAGATGGCCTTCTCCAAGACCCGTCCCTCCTGGCCACATGCTCAGACTGTGTGAGAAGGAATTTCAAAATCCTAGCCTCCAAGGAGGAACTTGGTTGCACCCTCTCCAAGGCTGACAATCTCATATCCTACCTACTTCAGATTCTGATTGGCCTGGGCCAAGGTGTTATCTATTTAAACTGTATCCCAGCTTCCAGGACCAAATACACACCTCCTTATCATCTACAAAAATGTTCCTTCTTCCTTGGGTTAGTCTATAGCATAAACACCCAAGAATGTTTTAAAATCTTCTTAAAGGAATGTGAAGCAGAATGCATGGAATTCCACACCAATTTTTTTTTTAAATATTAAGTATCTCAAGGCTTTCTCCCCCTCTTTTTCTCCTACTTGTAAGAATGTCATAAGGCGAGCTCTGATTTTTGGGTTGGGGGATTTTTTGCTTTTTACATCTCTAATCATTAAACCTTGGAAGCAGAAGTGGCATCCACTTCTTAAACACCATGCCTCCAGAAATTCTACAAACTTTGATAAATGTAGATAGTTCGAGAAAGGCTTCAGGCCTTTTGTTCATAGGGTCACTACGAGTCATGCTCGACTGGAAGGCAATCAACAATAATCAAATTAAACCAGGTCAAAAATGTTTTACCTAATTAAAGTGAACACTCAAAGAGTCATGATCTTACATCAACACGCTTATCCCTTCCTCCATCCTGTACCCTCCATCCTCAAACACCACCACCTCTCTAATACCCTCCATGCCTCATCCAGCCCATCCCCCACCTACATCTCCATCCCTCCCTTTCACCTCTATCCTCCTCTTCACACATAAACTTTTATACACCCTCTCCCAAAGAGCATTGTTCAGTTAGTGGGTAAGGAGTTATGCTGCCAACCCAAAGGCAGTTCATTCTAATCCCCCAGTTGCTCCAAGAGTAGAAAGCTGGGCAATCTCCTCCCATGTGGCTTTTGTTGTTATTGTTGTTGTTGTTACTGTTGTTAGGTGCTGTCGAGTTGAGTATGACTCATAGCGACCCTATGAACAGATCTGAACCTTGTCTATTCTGTGCCATCTTCACACCACCTGACATACTAGAGCCCACTGCGCAGTCACCATGTCAATCCACCTGGTCGATATTCTTCTGCTCCTTTGCCAACCCTCCACCCTTCTAAACATCATGTCCCTCTCCAATGAATAGTGCCTCCTAGCAACATGCCCAAGTATGTGAGGCGAAACTCTGGCTACACCCTCTCTAAGACATACTTGTTTGTTCTTTTAGCAGTGTTCAGTGTTCTTCTCAAACATATAGCTCAAAGGTATCAATTATCCTTCTTGTCATCCCTATTCATTGCCCAGTAAGTGACTGGAAAGACCATGGTCTGAATCAGATGTACCTTAGTCCTCAATTGACATCATTACTCCTCAATAATTTGGAAACGTCCCTAACTGCAGGCTTTCCCAAAGCAATGTGTTCCCTTACTTCCTGACTGCTGGTACCAAGCATGTTAATTGTGGATCCAAGTAGATAATGAAGTTTCTGGCAGTTTCAATCTTTTCTCCATCCATCACAATGTTGCCTATCAGTTAAGTGGTAAGAATTTTTTTCTTAACACTGAGATGCAATCCATACCAAAGGATGCATTCCTTGAACTTCTGCAACAAGAGCTTCAAGTCCTCCTCACTTTCAGCAAGCAAGGTTGTGTCATCTGCCTAACGCAGGTTATTGATGAGTCTCCCTCCAGTTCTGAGGCCACACTCCTCCTCACAGAGTCCAGCTTCTCAAATCATTAGCTCAACATACAGATTGAATAGGTATGGAGAGAGAATACAACCCTGACACACTCTTAATTTTAGACCATACAGGGTTCCCCTGTTCTGTTCACAAACAGCCAGGTATAGGTTCTGCATGAGCACAATTCAGTTCTCTGGGATTCCCATTCTTCTCAATGTTAGCCACAAGTTGTTATGATCCACACAGTCGAATACCTTTGCATAGTCAATAAAGTACAAATAGACATTCTTCTGATATTCTTTACTTTCAGCCAGAATCCGGCTGACATCAGCAATGATATCCCTAATGCCATGGCCTCTTTTAAATCCTGCTTGAACTTCTGGCAGTTCTCTATCTATGTACTGTTCTAGCTATTTTTGTATGATCTTCAGCAGTATTTTGCTTGCATGTGACATTAATTATATTGTTTGATAGTTCAGTGTGACCACTTGACCCACTGGAGGGTCAGTTATGAGTCAGTTCCACCTCAAGGAGATGAATTAGACATTTCTGATGTTGTGAGGGTTTGTTGGTGGTGTTTTTTTAAACTCCCTTCTGCATTACCGCCCTTCTCCTGTAACCTCTCCCCTTCCCATTCTCTCATTTCCCTTTTCACTCTCCACTCCCTCCTGCATTGTCACATGCTCTCCTACTCTAACCTACACTCACATCCCTCCCAAAGACCCCCAACCTTCTCCATATCCTACATCTTCTCCTTCAGCCCCCTCACACTTCTTCCTATTCACACCTTCTTCTGTACTGCTAACCCCCTTATGCCTCTCTTCTCTTAGCTCCTTCCTTTCTATCCTTCAACATTCTCACACACACTCCATTCTCACACTCCTTATATAGCTATATTCTCTCTTCCCACATCAATTTTTTTTACCAGCATTCTACGTTTCTCCCTTTTTGTTATTTTAATGCTGTTTATTCAGAAGCTCATCTGTCTATCTCTTATTCTTTCTTTCTCCCCTCTTTTTCTTGCTTACCTGGTCC